GCAGCCATACATACTCGCGAACGTCCAGAGACTACACAGACACCCACAGCTTGGCGATCCCCTTGTCTGGGTAGAACACAACACACATAGCCGCCAGGTATGTCGTAGCGAACCTATTTCCTCCTTTGACCTTGCTAACACCAAGCAACTCGCCCGCTTGGTGGTGACCGATGTCCACGACGACGACGGGGGTGTCGTCGTCGAACTCTGTAGGCGTGATTTGCAGAGGGTTGGTGAGACCCTTGTTATCGACGAAGAAGGCGCGGAAGAAGGCCGTGTCCATTTGGAGCTATCCGATCTTAGCTTGCGTCAGATGAAAAGGAGGTGGCGACTTGCACTTATGATTGTCCGATTGAGCGCGTACTTACTCAAAGCCAGTGCTGCTTTGACGCTGTCCCCGATCTGCTTCTTGTCCATCGAGCATGTGCCAAGATTCTTGACGACTTTCTTGGGCTTGACAGTTGTGCGAGACCTTTTTGTCGGGTTATTCTGGCGGTCGTCGACGGGTGAAGATTTACGCTGCTTATCGTTTAGTTAAACAGTATGCGTCCAATGCAACAGATAACACTGCGATAACGTACCTTTCGTGTTTCTACCATGTTGTCAAGCTCCTAGAGGCAGACTTGACGAGATGTGGCGACGAGAATGGGGCAATGAAAGCAGGTTGGAGGAAGCGTAGAAGCGACTTATATTAGCGACGAAAAAAAAAGGGACGAGTTCGGCAAGGCTGGTGGAAGTTGACAAGCTGAGAGATTGCCAAGGTCGGCATTGAACAGCCTTAACAACGCGGGTCGGTCACGCCAATCTGTGCCCCGTTCAAGACGCGCCGTCATCCAGGCCCGCTTTTTCTTCACCTCACCTGTGTCAGATTGCTGTCACATATCAGTCCACAAGTGAATGATGGGAAACATAGGAGGGGCAAGAAACTCCGTCACAAACCCAGCACGACTGTGCAGTTGCCTTGCAGACGCAAATGTATTGCGGTGTCTACCAGCTGTACCTTGGGTGCACGACACGATGCTTCCGATTCGACACTAGAAAGAGGCATAAATGCATATGCCTTGCGCCCCCGGCTCCTTCAAATAGGCCTGTGCCTCTCCCTTCAACTCACCACGGACAGCTGCTCAACTCCATCATGTCTTCACATCTGCACGTTAAATATGACTCTGATAGTGATGACAGCATTGGACCCGTTGAGCCTCCCCAATGGCCGCTTGGTCTGTCGCCGCCACGGTTTGGCAGTTTGCCCATACTGTTGCGTCGACTTCAGCTTCATGGAGGAGCTGTCGGAAGACCCAGACGAACGGCTGGGGTGCGAGACGAGCGAAATATGTGAGCATTTGAGCGATGAAATGCAGGCTGACATTGATGCGCGATGGGCGCCCCCGCCCTCAACGCGTGCAAACAGCCCAGCCTACCACCGAAATACTGGAACCCACACTGGCTTCCACATCGTCCATATAGCCGCATCATCGGAACTTTGCGGCGGCCCCACCCCCCC